ATATAATATATATAAACTAAATCTGAAGATCCATCAAATCAGTTTGTAATAAAAGGAAATGTCTTGGACACATCTTCAACACATCAACTTATTTTCTAACTAAGTTTAACTGGAAGCAGGCAGCCCTAGCTGTTGGTTTACAATCAGGGAATGAAGAAAAAATGCCTTGGAAAAGTTTTGTTATTTTTAAATCATTGTCTTCTAAAGACACTCATTTATACCTGGCTCAAGTCCAGAAGAATTCCAAAACAACAGGAAAAAGAGGAAGAACCCGCTGGAGACAACAATTAACTTCATTTTCCAGAAGCTCCAAGACTGCAGCCCGAGGGAACAGGAAACGACTGGGGCCTCCTTGATAGTTTATAAACCTTTGGCCACACTCAGCTGTCTACAATTGCGCTCTCCTTGGATAGCTCGGGAAACCCCTTAGCATCACTTGAGAGCTTGTTAGGCTGCAAAAATACCAGGTTCCATTCTCAGTCTACAAAATCAATCATGAAATGCATTTCAACAGGATTGCCAGGTAGTTCACGTGCACATTAAATTTGACAAGCATTTTTCTTAGCATACACTTGGCCCAGTCCACTTGACTAAATTTAAAAAAACTGAGTTTAGTATTGGAAATTACACTACAAATAAAAATAATAATTCTGCTTAATATCCCTCTGTCTAGAGATGTACTTAAGCGATTGCTACACAGCTGTATGCTTCTTCGCACTTAAATTAAGGAACAAAAATATTAGACCCTTACAGGTATCAAGAGGCTGACACAGGTGACTATTTCTGATTGGCTCTTTCTCTCATTCGCTGGTTGTTATTTAACTTAAAATTCCCTAAACTACTAATGAGGTTAAGCTGAGAGACCTGAGTGACTCCATCTTTGATAAAACCTCCATAGGACTGACCCAGCCCTGGGCCCTATTCCAAGAAAAACCAAGATACTTGGAACGGATAGAGAACAACTCCCCCGCCAACAGTCAATGAACCAGGCACAGGAAAGTACTAAAAGTCCAAATGTCTTTTCAGATTTCCTGAAGCCAACAGTTTATGGTTTGGCACTGAGCTGCAACCAATCATATGCTTGCCAGGCTGAAGACCCCCTACTCCCCTGCTTGCTTCACTTGCTAAAATAAACCTATAAAAACCTCTGTCTCCCAAAGCAAAGGGTCTCACATGTGAGATCTGCTGAGTCGGTGACAGAGTGGGCCCAAGCTTAAGCTTGTAATAAAAGAACCCTTGTATATTTGCATCGGTCGGCTCCTTGGTGGTCTTTGGGGTCTGGCAAACTGGGCACAACAAAGCACCATCTCAAGCTCATCAATTCTTCTGATCACATGTATGAACTATTTGGATGCTCTCTCTTGAAATATCTTTGTTGATTTTTCTTTCAGTTGCCCATACTTTAAAAATTAATTTGTAGCGGGTGTGGTGGTGCATGCCTTTAATCCCAGCACTTGGGAGGCAGAAGCAGGCAGATCTCTGTGAGTTCAAGGCCCGCCTGGTCTACATAGTGAGTTCCAGGACAGCTGGGGCTACAGGGAGACCCTGTCTCAAAGAGACCAAAAAAAAAATTAATTTGTAGGGTCTGGAGAGATAGCTCAGCAGTTAAGAACAGTGTTTGCTATTGCTGAGACTCCAAGGGACAGCTGGGGCTACAGGGAGACCCTGTCTCAAAGAGACCAAAAAAAAATTAATTTGTAGGGTCTGGAGAGATGGCTCAGCAGTTAAGAACAGTGTTTGCTATTGCTGAGACTCGAGGTTCGATTTCCAGACTTAGAGGTGGAAAGACTGTAAGAGCCAGGGTTTGTCCATGAACACCGGAAAACAGAGGCTTTCAGGCCACTGGAAGCTTGCACATGTGAACTTTCAGCAATGATGGGTCAAGCCACAAGTCCCATGCCAACTCAATCAGACTAGGGCCCAGAGTGGAGCGAGGGAAATGAGGGACAGGCCAAACTGTTGGTGACTGATTACTGCTAGGTGACGGAGAGTACACCTTACTTACCGTCTATAGATAGTCTGGCTAAACTCCAGTGGATGAATTTCCACCAAAGGACATCCACCAAATGCTTGACTAGGTAGGACTTAACATGTATGGTGGAATGCATAAGGTTTAGTGGGGGAGAAAGGTGTATCTAAATGTGATTAAGAATTCTTGTATGAAATGTACAAAAGTTCAATAAATTTTTTTTAAATAAAGAATATTTTTTACAAAATAAAAATTTAAGTTAATTTGTAGAATTATTATATAATCAGGACATGATTCTTCTGGTTTATGCACATTGTGAATATTTTTTTAATTATTATATTTGCTTAATTGGTGGGGGGAGTTGTGTGGCGATCAGAAGACACCCTGTGGGAGTCAGAGCTCTCTTACACCACATGTGCTCAAAGTCAGCTCATCAGGAGCCTTTACCTGCTGAGCCACCTCACTGGCCCATATTGTAGATGTGACACTAAATTTCCTCCAGCCTGACTGGGCCACAGGGTGTCCTAACACCTGAATAAGCACTATTCTAAGTATGACTGGAAAGAGAAAACTCATGACCCTCTCCAGTGTGGGTAGGCCTCACCCAATCTGTGGTGGGCCTAAATAGAATTAAAAGATTGATTTTGAATCTGTTTGAAATTGACTTAAATTGATTTAAAAAATCACTGATATTTCTATTTATCAGAATGACAGTAGTAGGTTGTTCCTTGTGGCCATGACCTGTTTAGCTACAGGTTCTTGGTCCTGATAACAGCTCCTACCAGATGTCACACTAGTGAAGAAAGCTGATTCTCCCTCTCCCAGCAGCTATCAATTGCCAACAGGTCCTCAGCTAGGGCTGGGGCTTCCTGCCACCTCCGCATCCATGCTGGACCTCTGTCTGGCTTGGATTTGCACAGATCTTATGCATGCTGTCACAAATGCTGTGAGCTCACATGTGTAACTGCCCTGTGGTATCCAGATGACAATTTCCTCATATTCATCCACAATCTCTGGCTCTTACAACCTTTCTACCACCTCTTCCACAATGATCCATGAACCTTTGTGGGAGAGGGTGCAATATAGGTGTCCCATTTAGAGCTGATCTCTTGGCATGCAGTCTCATCCTCTGCATCTTGACC